CAGCGCCATGACTGCAGGGGGATGTTACAGAGAGGGAGTGATCCAATATTGAATCTTCTGAGTACCACCTGTCATAGAGACCAGCGAGTGTGTGTGTGTGTGAGAGAGCGTGAGTGATTAGTTAAACAGTGCAGAAATGCAGCCTGTAGAGTCCAGCTGCTTCTGATCCAAACTTTTATTTTACAGCTGGAAAAATGATTTAACCAGACTGATCCAAAACGAAGTAAATCACTTCTTAAGAGTTTGTCAGATCTGCAAATATTTTATTTAAGAAAATAAAAAATTATTGAGATTTAGAGTAAATCTGACAAATTAAATCTGCGTCATGATCTTTGGTTGACTTGAAACTGCTGTCAGTTCAACACAGTCCTTTCTTCAGATGCACACACACACACACACACACACACACACACACACACACACACACACACACATGTTGGTACATCTATACTTGTGAGGAGCCGTCATTGACTTCCATTTATTTGTGTGACCGCTATGCCTAACCCATACCCTAACCATAACCACAACCAATGCTGTTCTATTTCTAACCCTAACCTAAACTAGAAGATAACTCACACCATACCTCACTGTGATGAGATGGCAAATGTCCTCACAATTTCAAAATGTCCCCATGTCAGAGGTGAAAAGTCAAAAATGTGTCTTCACAAAAATACATAAACATACATGCACACTCATACACACATATGCACACACTCACAGATGCACACACTGATACACACAGATGCACACACACACACACACACACACACTCATACACACAGATGCACACACACACACAGATGCACACATATGCACACACACACACAGATGCACACACACATACACACAGATGCACACACTGATACACACAGATGCACACACTGATACACACAGATGCACACACACTTTCTGATTACTTTTTGGTAGTTTATAAATATAATATATAAACACAAACTGTGTGTGTTTATTCGATATAACATCTGTGCTATTTGATATGTGTGCAAATACCCAGATGTACATTTGTTTGTCTGTATTTTATGCAGTTTCTTCCTGTAAAATCTATTTCCTATTTTTATTCTCCGCTGAGGCTTACAGTGATAACTTATGCCCTTGTGTGTTTACCTTCATTATTTCTTCCTATTCTCTAAGTGTAAGAACTGCCTTAAAATGAGTGAATTGTCCCACTGCGAGATCAATATTCTATTCTATTCTATTCTATTCTATTCTATTCTATTCTATTCTTTCTGTGTATGTATGTGACAACTTATCACCAGCTGCTAAAGCCAATGAAATGTAAAATTCCTATAGTTTTTCTCACTTTTACACTTTTCTCACAAACATAACACGGTGCAGGGGTTGATTAAAGAGTTTGGATGTTTGATGCCCCCCCCCCCCCCCCCCCCCAAATAACTTTTTGAGTCCCCCTAGCCTCTCTGCTCTCATCTGGGATCCCGCTCTCTACGGGACACCGGGTATAGCCTGTCTTCATGTCTGCTGGTGCTGCCCATGTGAAACAAGAAAAGACAATTAGGGGCTTATTAGGGTCTCGGGGAGACGTCCCTCACGGGGCGTCCGCTCGCCGGTTTGGCCCCAACCCTGAACCGCTGCCATAGCTCCAAACAGTCAGGGGCATTGTCTCACCTAATTACGCTGAAACCAGGGGCCCCTTTTTGTGTTGCTACCGCCATCCCTGTCCACTTCCCCTTCTCTGGCCCAACTGTCCGTCCCTGTCCACTGTGGAAGTGTGCTAATTAGACAAGAAACGGGTCCAAGCATTTATGTCAACTCTAGTTAGGAGCAGCCACACAGCAAATATTATTTTGTTAAGAAAGTTTTAAGTGCCAGAGCTGCTTCCTCATTGCTGCAGCAACACGTCTGCATGAGCAACAGGAGAACCTCCCAACAAACTTCAGAGCAGAAATAAACGCATGGAGACGAGACAAAAACATGAACTTATTGCCCTAATTAATGAATGAACTGGTGAACAACCAGTGGCACATTGTTGGGACCGTGAGAGCTTTTTGTTTCTACACCCTAATAGGAGGTTTTGATCAACGGCTGTGTGGTGACCCAGCTCTGCTTTTTAAAGGCCCGGCTCTGGGAAATGGCAATTAGCTAGATTAGAGGAGCCATTTCTGGAGCTTCTAACAAAGAGAAGACAGGCCGAGCTCAAATCATCTTTTTAAATTTATAACCTCAGATGACTTTTTCTTTTACATTTCATTAACAAGGGAGCATCTGTCATCAACACCTCCACTTTAGTAAAAGCACAAACAAGAGCAGTTTTTACTCTTTTTTTATCAGAAAAATTACAAAACTCAACTCAGTTCTCAAAAGAAAAAAAACACATCATCTTCTGCATGTTGAATACATGTAATACATGGCATGCTCCTGGTGCTGGTGCTGATCCTACAGCCCTAATCCTGGGGCTGATCCTGCAGCTGATTTTGGTATTGATGCAGATCCTGGTCCTGATCCTGGTACAGATTTTGGTGTTGGTGCAGATCCTGGTCCTGATCCTGGTCCCGATCCTGGTGCTGATGCTGGTCCTGATCCTGGTGAAGATCCTGGTCCTGATCCTGGTGAAGATCCTGGTCCTGATCCTGGTCCTGATGCTGATGTTGGTCCTGATCCTGGTGAAGATCCTGGTGCTGATGCAACTCATGGTCCAGATCCTGGTGCTGATCCTGGTCCCGATCCTGGTGCTGATGCTGGTCCTGATCCTGGTGAAGATGCTGGTCCTGATCCTGGTCCTGATGCTGATGCTGGTCCTGATCCTGGTGAAGATCCGGGTCCTGATCCTGGTGTTGATGCTGATGCTGGTCCTGATCCTGGTGAAGATCCTGGTCCTGATCCTGGTGTTGATGCTGATGCTGGTCCTGATCCTGGTGAAGATCCTGGTCCTGATCCTGGTGAAGATCCTGGTCCTGATCCTGGTGTTGATGCTGATGCTGGTCCTGATCCTGGTGAAGATCCTGGTCCTGATCCTGGTGTTGATGCTGATGCTGATGCTGGTCCTGATCCTGGTGAAGATCCTGGTCCTGATCCGGGTGCTGATGCTGGTCCTGATCCTGGTGAAGATCCTGGTCCTGATCCTGGTGTTGATGCTGATGCTGGTCCTGATCCTGGTGAAGATCCTGGTCCTGATCCTGGTGTTGATGCTGATGCTGGTCCTGATCCTGGTGAAGATCCTGGTCCTGATCCTGGTGTTGATGCTGATGCTGGTCCTGATCCTGGTGAAGATCCTGGTCCTGATCCTGGTGTTGATGCTGATGCTGGTCCTGATCCTGGTGAAGATCCTGGTCCTGATCCTGGTGAAGATCCTGGTCCTGATCCGGGTGCTGATGCTAGTCCTGATCCTGGTGAAGATCCTGGTCCTGATCCTGGTGTTGATGCTGATGCTGGTCCTGATCCTGGTGAAGATCCCGGTGCTGATGCAAATCATGGTCCAGATCATGGTCCAGATCCTGGTGCTGATCCGGCTGCTGATGCTGGTCCTGGTCCTGATCCTGGTGAAGATCCTGGTGCTGATTTGTGCTGTCCATGCAAGATCTGGTTAAGTTTCTGTCATCCAAAAAAATCTGATCCAGATTCATGATGCAGATGTATGAATTTTAAGATTTTTATGACAAAAGGCACATGTGGCCCCCTGGTCAATCTCAGCTCAACATCTTTTCTCCTTTTGGTTTCACACTAAAACCCAGATGCTCAAAAATCGACTCCAAACGGACCCATCCGGGCTGATCTGCAGTCAGATCCCATCACTGATGCAGCTTGAATCTGACTGACGGCTTAAACGTGGCAGCCGGTCGCACGCGGGTGCCACGCACTCCCACGGGAGCAACCTGTTTATTTATTTATTTATTCATGATGTCCCATTGAAGACGCTTCTTTCCAGCGCGTCCCCTCATCTCCATAAACGGTCCAGATGTCCGAAAGCGTGCCGCAAATTATCTCCGAGCCACCCAGAGACTGCGCAATAATTGAATAATAGCTGATTATGAGATGGAAGGAAGAAGTGGAGAAAACGAGAGTTTATTCACACCTCATGTCTTAATTCAGACGTTTTAATGGTTTCGCTCATGAAGTTGTATAGTTCCCACTCCAGCATAAACAAATTCTTACTTTTTTTTAGCTTTTTAGAATAATAAAATAATAAAAAATTAAAATGAATAATAACCCTTAAGATGGAGGGGGGATGATTGTGCGTCTTTTTTGTTTGAGCGTTTGGTTTGTCTCGTATTTAATTGCCACCCCGGTGTGTCCTAAATACCCCGAACTGGGACATCTTTATTATGTGACCCGTCCAAAGAGTAATAATAAAAAAAAGCTTAATAACCCATCAACAGATGCGCAGACTGCTCTCAAAGACAAAACGTTTAGTGAGGAAACCTAATTAGAATATGCAAATCAGGCCGAGTTATTCGAGACGTTACAGAGGGAGCTGGAGTCTGCAAACCAGTTAGATTTTTTAAACTAAACTGGTTTGGATATAGACTTATTTAGGCTGATGTAAATATGCTGAACTAGTAACAAAGTCTCAGAGTTTAATGTTTTCAATTAAAAAGGAAAATAAACTAAGTTCAGATTTGATTTTCATTGGTGAAAATAATAAAAACGTGACTACAATTTAAAATCAAACATTTCTTCTTTATATTAATCCTTTTAGAACACTTAACTATCACCAAACCTGTTTTATTCCATGATTCAATTCAATTCAATTCAAAGATACTTTATTAATCCCAGAGAGAAATTAGAGTTTCAGTACCCACAATTCTGAGATCAGGCATACATATGCAGACACATGACAAGACTGTGGTTCTGACCAATCACCTTTGAATTTTGGATTTTTTTAACCAGATAAATGCTTTTTGATTTTAGCAGATATATAACCACATGATCCTAAAGCTAAACATTTTTATTCTAAGAAGCTTCATCCTGACTCCCTCCGAAACATGCGCTCTCTCCTGATTGGTTCCTGCCTGTTGCCTGTTTGATAAAAAGCGCAGCTTCGATGAGGACAGAGATAAAGAGAGATCATCAGTTAACCCAACACCATGACGGGGAAGGACGGACTTGTGCTTTCAGACTCAGAGAATAAACAAAACACAGCATCAAAAATCAGAATGAACCACGGGGACCCCAAGCAGCCGACCCCAGTCTGGAAGATGGCCCCCACTGCGCAGCGGCGCACCGGCTTCGGGATCCAGGAGCTGCTCGGCCTCAACAAGGAGCCGCCGGCGGTCACACCGAGGCGGCCTCTGGAGGTCCTGCCGCACAGAGCGCACGCTCTGGCGGCCAGGTCTGCCCTGGGACACGGAGGGCTGGGGATCAGCATGGGTCTGCTGGGGCCGGAGGGGATCCACTCGTTCTACAGTCAGCCTGCGTTTCTGGAGGTGCTGTCAGAGGCGCAAAACGTGCACCTGCAGCCGCTGCACCGAGCGGCGCAGATGGACTCACATATAGAGGTGCAACATTCCGGTGCAAGCTCAGGTGAGTTCCGGAAAAGGAAGAAGTTAAAACATTTAAGCAGTTACTTCAAAAAGAACACGTTGTATTGATTTTAGAAATCTGTTTTATGTAAAATGTTAGTTTGCCATAAAAAAAGGTTATTACATGGTTAACAATGGGTTTCAGTTTTTCTTCATTTAATGAGAAATTATTTTATTTCACAACGAAATTTGTCCAAATTATAAAACTAAATAGAACCACAATTTCTAAAGTGTTCTGCCTGTAATCCCTTTATTAAAAAATGTAGGAGTCTTTTCAGATAAGATTCTTATAATCAAATACAAACATAGTCTTTATTTATTTGTTTGTTTGTTTGTTTTATTACAGATTCAGATGATTTGAGCTCCTCTGGAGATCAAAAATTCTCCACATCATCGATGAGTCAGAGCAAGAAAAGAAAGAAAAGAAGACATCGGTAAATAAAATGTATTATTATTATTATTATTACTAATATTATTATAATAATTATTATTGTTGTAGTTGTTATTAATATTATTATTGTTATTTATATTGTTATTATCATATGTTTGAGGCCTTGTGCAGAGGACAACAGCACATATGATGTTTCATCATTGTTATTTGAGGAACAAAAAGAAAAAGCAAAACATTTTTATTTATGCTTTTGTTTATTTGTAACATTTGCAGATTTTTTAAGAGCAAAAACCATCTGGCTTTTAAGAGAATTAAGCTCATTTGCAGTTGTTAATAACCTGAAATATTTACCAATAACAAAACTTTAAATGAAGAATCAAGACAGAATATTATTTTCTGGTGATTGACTAGAAAATTGTTGATGACTTTTTCATGAATAAATGAATGAATAAATATTGTTTTCCTTTTGAAATGCAGAACCATTTTCACTTCCCATCAGCTGGAGGAGCTGGAGAAAGCTTTTAATGAAGCGCACTATCCAGATGTTTATGCTAGAGAAATGCTGTCGATGAAGACCGAGCTGCCAGAGGACAGAATACAGGTGTGTGTGTGTGTGTGTGTGTGTGTGTGTGTGTGTGTGTGTGTGTGTGTGTGTGTGTGTGTGTGTGTGTGTGTGTGTGTGTGTGTGTGTGTGTGTGTACATGCTGTAATTGGTTAAGTCTCTCTCCTGCCCTGAAATGAAACCACAGAGAAGCGAATTGGAGGTCAGAGTTGCGACCGATGTGGAGCGTTTTAATTTCCCCTGATATCTGAGCCTCCTGTCCTCCATCGACCGGACCTGGAAATGAACTTATTTTTCAGTCAGCCTTTTTGCATCTTTTAACTCATTCTCTCACTCAGTTATAAAAAAAGAAAAAAAAAGTCTTGATTGCCCAAGTGTGGTCAGTTTATTTAGATGGAAAAGCTGCAGGCTGTTGTGATCAGCTGTAAATTCCTAAGCTGGGACCCCCCACCCCCCGCCCCCCCCCCCCCACACACACACACACCTTCCCTTTGCTGTCATTTCAAGTTGCTCCGTCCTCCTTTCCCTAAACAAACAGTTAAATATAAAACAGCAGAAGCCTCAACTGTTTTATGTTTTTTTAATTAAGACAAACAGGAGAAAAAAGTCAGCCACAGCTATTCAAACCATTTTGAAACCCTCAGATGATGTCATAATTCTTCTGAAATCCAAAATGAAAGAGACCTTTATTCTAGGTTTAACGCCAAATGATTAACATGAAAAATTGCATCGAAGTGACCTTAAGATGAAATAAATTATAGCATTTATTCTCCATTCTAGTAAAGCTTAAGTCACATGTTGCCACAGTTGCATGTGAACTTATTCTCACTTATTAAAAATTATAAATAAATGACTGGAACACAATATTTCATAGATTCTGTTTCTTTAATTTCACCTTTCAAAGCTCAATAATAGCAGTACAGATGTTACATTTAATGGTTTTTTTAATGAACAGGATTTGACCATTAAGCCATTAAATATCAGTTAGATAAAGGAAACCCTGAACATATGTCATGTTTTAAATGATCTATTTTAAATTGCATTTACATAAACAA